ACAAGGGAAAAAAATTTTTCCTTTTCTTTAACTTTGTGTCTGTAGAAAATGATGGATGTTCACTAAACCTATTGTGATAATCACTTCATGATGTATGGAAGTCAAGCCTTTATGCTATACACCTTAAAATTTTACAGTGCTAAATATCAGTTATATCTCAATAAAACTGGAGGGAAAAAGCTATCATATAGAATAAAAATAAATTACCTTCTGGAAGCTAGTTTCAGTTTTATTGTTATTATTGATCAGAGAAAGTTACTACATTCAATTAGAATGTTTTTTAATTTATTTAAAAACTGCCAAACTGCTTTCCAAAGTGACTGTACCATTTTGCATTCCTATCAGTAGTGTGTGGAAGTTCTACTTGTTTCACATCCTCATCAACACTTGATAGTATCATTCTTTTTCATTGTAGCCATTCTAGTAGGCACACAGTTTTAGCTCATTGTTTCAATTTACATTTCCCTGGTAACTAGTGGTGTTGAGACTTCCTTCATTTGCTTATTTTCCATCCCTATATTTTCTGACTGAAAGTGTCTGTATTTTTTAATTGGGTTGTTTACCTTCTCATTACTGAGTTATAAGATTTTTTGTGTGTTCTTGATACAAGTATCAGATATATGGTTTACAGATATTACCCCCCATCTGTGGCTTCCTTTTTATTTTGTTGGTAGATTTATATGGGTGGTGGAAAAGCAGGATTACTGATAAAGAGATCAGCAGGATAGTGGTGAGTGAATTCTGCGTGCACATGAGCTGGCAGAGGACACACCGGAGAGGTGGGTGATCATGGAGCTAAAATTGTTAAATGTAGTAGAATCAGGATAGGGAGAGCATTTTAAGGAAGGTGGAGGAATTTAGAATGGATATAGCAAGGAATAGGGAGCCATGAAACACTCCTGAGCATGAGAGTGGCAAAACAAAAGTGGAAATTCTACCTCAGGTAGCACAGGAAGCACAGGGAGAGGCAAGGAGGAGAGGCAAGGAGGCCAGGTGGAAAACTAAATGGCAGTCAAGGGGTATGAGTGTGAGAATGTGGACTGTGATCTTGACAAATGTGAAGTCAGGGAATAAAGTGAATGACACTGTATTTTAACGTAAGAAAAGGGAAGATCTTTTGGCATATTGAATATGAGAGTTAAAATGAGGAGAGCAAATCATTATAGAAAATGAATATTAGAAGGGAATAAGAAGGTCATTGAGTTCCACTCTTAATTTTACTGTTGAGAAACTAAGGCCCAGAGAGGAGTGGTGATTTTACCAGGGTCAAACAGCAATTTAGCAACAGAGTCAGAGGCCATCCAAATCACTGGATGCAGACCTTGTTGTTTCCACTTCAGAAACCTAACCTCAGAACTCTGAGGTCTAGGTCTCCAACTGGGAAATATTTCACTCACAGAAACTTGCTGGAAATGAGGATTCACCCCCATTTCTCCTCTCTCAGTCTCTCTTTGATCCTTCCCATCCACCACCACTCCCATCTTTAAGAAGAAAACTAACCAATAAACATTTCCCTGCATGTTTTTTTTTCCTCCACCCGCAGTTTTCTTCTTTGACCAGACAAGTATACCACCAGCAGTTTTTATATTGTAAACCCATATTGTCTTTGTTGAGACAGATGCCAAATTAGAACTACAGCTATAGCTACGTGAATATATCTTAGATCATAATGATGAACCAAAGAAAAAACAACTTGCATAATGACATCATTTTAAGTTTAAAAATCATCAAAATAAATTCTTTGCAATGATTATAAGCACACAGACATATAATCAAAGCACAAAACCACCATGAATGTGATTAATTTGGAAGAGGGAGAAAAGGAAATGAGACTGGGAAAAATTACCAGGGGACCCTAAATATATCTGTAATGTTTTATTTTTCCAAAAAGTAAAAGAAAGGAATAAAGAAATTCTGAAGATAATATGACATAAAGTAGAATTTTGCATCTTCTAATATTCTCTATTATCAGTATGTTCAAAATGCCTCACATGTTTTTAAAAGTTCAAATGTGAAGCATTGTTTACTTGTGTCAGCATTCATTACCCACCCCCATCTCCTATAATTATGCTGATGGTTCATATTTACCAAAAATGTTGAAAGTTACAAACACCAGGGATCAATGTAGCTAAGTGTATCGCTCCTACATCCTCTGTTTAAGGATGTAGGTCTTCCAGGTTTCTTCAAGATAGTTTTAAAAGATAAGGGGGCAATGCTAGAAGCTTCTAGACCAACAAATCTTGGCATGACTTGCTCTATGATCCTAAACGAACATCTGTAGTTTAACAGTGGCAAGAATCTCCAGGCGCCCAGAAGTGAGAGATGAGGGCAGTTACCTGAAACCCACCCCTACCCACGGGCAATAGGAAGGTTTATGTGAGCAAGTGAGAAACGTCACGGAAACAGATGCTGCAGGCAGAGTCTATGTATGCAAACGCAGCACACCAAGAGGGCATCAGGGACAACGTTTGTCGTTGTGACACAGTATGGTCAACCAGCTGGGCAGCGGTCCAGGGCTCAGTGTGGTCAAGAGCCTTCTCCTTCCCTGCCTCCCTAACCCCTGAGGACTGTTGGTCCTCACTGTTGACTCCTACTGAAACAGACACAATGGCAGAAGCAGCCTAAGAAATGGGTACAGACTCCTACTCTGGTGGAGTCGGGATTTAGAAAGAAGGGATGTGGGGTGGTCCCTATTAGCTAACAATAAAACAGCCCACAATTACTGAGGGACTGTCCAAAGCTAGAGGCACTGCTAAATCCAAGAGATGAATGATCTGATTTCGTCTTCACAAAAGGTCCATGTGATAGATACTGGCTCACATGGATCACCATTAGGTCCAGTTTCCAGACTGGAAAACTGAGGTTCGAAGAATAAAAGAGACTTGCCTAAAGTCACGCAATCATTAGGTGACTCCAGGATGTGTCTTATACTTTGTTCCATTTCTCTAGGATACATAGGAGAACCTAGAAGGGGATGTTTATAACAACTGGCCTCAGACCTACAATACCCATATCACCCTTCCTAGGGAAACGCCCTGACAAGTAGGGAAAACAGTTGGGAGACAGCATGAAAAACCTCAACAGAAATGAGTATCAGGCTGACTCTTGGTGAAAAAAATGAATACAGGATGCCAAACAATTCAATGGCAGGAGTCTAGTGAAACAACAAAATAATTGGCAGATAGTGTCATAAGGACTTTGAGAATGCTTTCTTCAGAGTTGGTTAGCCGTTTGGTTGGTTGGTTGGTTGGTTGGTTGGTTGGTTATGAACTACAGAATTCTTTTAGATGAAATCTTGGGCTGAAAACAGGATGTCAAACAGAAGCACAGCTGTTCTGGCTGAAGGTAGGGGTCAGGGAGCAGAGGCAGTTCTCCCCAAGACACTGGCCAAGTTTAGAAACCCCTCATTTTATAGGTGAGCAGAGGGAGGCCCAGAGGGAGTAAGATATGCTAGGGTCATAAAAATGTGATTAATATGGCTTGTTTTATTCATTGTGCTTAATTAATTACGTGCCAGGTTGTTTTAAGTATTTCACATGTAGGCTTAATCCCCACAGCCCTATGAGGAAGGTATAATTATATCATAAAATCTACAGATGAGGAAGCTGAAACACAGAGAGGTTAAATAAAATTGCTCAAGGCAAGTCAGAAGAACCAAGATCAATCAAGTCCAGATGTTCTGGCCTCAAAGGCCAGGTGGCTAACCAAAATGATACCTGCCTAAGAGGAGGTAGACTGAGTCCGGTCTAGAACCCAGGTCCCTGACTTATAGGCAGTCATCCTTCATGTCCCCCCAGCCCCCATGCAATGTCTGCTCCCATGGGGTGCAGTGACAACAGGGTCAAGGGGGAGGGTCTGAAAAGTGTATACATCTTCAAAATCTGGAGAAACAGAATGTTTCCTAGCTGAAGGTCATCCCTTTTGTGCCAAGGACATTATTTGGGGGTTTGTTTGCTTATAGTTTTAGTCTGGGAGCCTCTCCCTGCTGGAGGTGCCAAGGTGCCTAGGCTGGGACTTCAGGCAGAGGAAGCAGAACATAGCTGCTTCAGGTTCACTTCTAGAAGCTCTAGTACCTTCCACAGTGTCGAAGCCAGGTCCTAAGACTACAGGGGGGAGTAATCTATCAGACCAAAGCCTTGGCTGTGGGTTCTCCTGGGCTCCTCCACCAAGGAAACAAGGCAGGAAAACGTGGAATCCTAATAAAGGTTAGAAAGGATTTCTTGATGTAATGCTCTTCTGTCTCCCAAGCAAGTCCTCCTCCAATCCACACTTCTCTCCCAAAGCCACCACTCATCCTGATGAATGCCATACATGAGACCTTGATCCTGCTCTGGAAAGAGGCAAGGAGCTTGCATTAGGGTGATCAACCTCCCCAGTTTGCCTGAGATTGTCTCAGTTTTAGCACTGACTACATCCTGGGGAAGCCCTCGGTTCCAGGCAAACTGTGACAGTTGGTCACCTTATGGCAAGTCTCAGAATGCAATTTCTTAGAGCAATACCTCTAATGGCCTCAATTTGACACACCGAAAAAAAAATCACACTGTAAGAGGTAGGAGGCACGAGACTGCCTGTTTTTCTCCAGTAACATCAACCCTGATGAAAATAGGGTTGGATGACTGAGGCCACGTTTAAGACCACCCCTGGGTCCCAGAGGAACTCACTGCCTGAGCTTTCTTCCTGACCTAGGGAATCTTGGGAGGAAAGGAAGGAAAGGCTTCGTCATGCCCTGGGAATGTCAGCCAAGAGCAGCTCTCTGCTCTCCTTGCAGAGTGAGCTCAAAGCCTCTTTCTTCAGGAGAGGTAGATGCTCCCCAGGCCTCACTCCCTTTTCACAAGCCCCGAATGACAAACACTAAGGGAGAGAGGGAGGAGAAGGAGCCAGAAAGCACAACCATCTCCTGCCTTTGGAAGAGCAGTTCCCCCAACCCAGCAGTTCTCTGAGCCTTCACTGGACCCACCACCTCGGCCAAGCCACAGGCCAGAGCCCCCCAGGAAACTCACCTGGGCCCCAGGACAGACTTGGCTCCCCCGGGATGCAGAAGCAGCCACCCATGTGTGCACCATCCTCCCTGGACCGAGGCCCCTGGGAACACCAGCCAGAGGAGCATGGGAGGGAACAGCCTCCCAGTGGTGTCCCTCCTCCCGCCTCCTCCCTGGCACACGAGGGACCAAGTCCTGCTCAGTGCACAATGCAGCCTTTGATATCCTGGCTGCAGCAGGAGGCCCAGGGAGGATGGGAGGGGCAGCCCAGCCCTCAGGACCCATAGTCCTTGCACTGTCAGGCCTCTGACTAGGGAGCAGAGCTCCTCCCTGCCTCTCTGCAGATCACTTCATGCCTATCAGGCTGTGGCACATTCCACACATTCTAGGATTGAGACACACAGTATGGTTCTTGTCGGGGTGGTCAGGGTGGGGGAGGAGGGCAGAGAGCATCCCAGGAATCAAACTGCTGTTCTTGCTCCCTCCCTGACTGGCCTGACCCACACTGACCTGCCTGCCACTGGGAAAGGGCTCCCCACCCAGCCTCTCTCTGCAAACACCTCCCTTGGTTGTCTGGGTGAAGCTGGAGCTGTGGGCGCAGCGTCTCACCTCACCCCCAGCAGCATCAGCGAGCCAATCCCCAGTCCTGGCTCCCAAAGTCTTGGTCAGAAGGAATCCCAGAAATCACCTGATGTAGCCCAGCATCTTACAGGTGAGAGGATGGGGGACCAAGTATGTGAAGGATACAAGTATGCACAAAAAATGGGCCCCACCAGACCAAACTCTTTACCATTTTGGATAAGGAGCAGGGAAGGGGTATGCAGTTGACACAGTATGGCTGAATTTCATAAAATCACCCATGACATCTCCTAAAAGAGACGGAGAAAATACTATTGAATGCCAATGAGGTTAGACAGAGGCCAGACTGATCCAATAACCAAGCTCAAGGATCACTAATTACTTACTGTTTCCCTAATGCCAGGAGCCAAGGTCAGTGACGAGTGGTCTAAAGAGTGAGGAGCTGTGGGTCGAGGGAAGGCAGGGTCCAGGCGGCCTGCCTTGCAGGCTGCTTGGAGGCTAGACTTGAGGTCAGTCTCACAAGCACTGTAAGGAGAGAGGTGGCCTGGTCAAGTTCATATTCTGGGAGGAGCACTGGGGTGACAATGTGAAGGACAGCCTAGGGGTCCGTCTCACTGGAGTGATCTGGGGCATCCGATGCACGCATCAGCTCAGCCCCAGGTGACAGGGTCTCAGCCATGTCTCTGAAGTCTGGCTTCAGTCTCCATGCTGACTCATCTTGACTCCCAGTGGCTGGATGTTCCCTGTGGCGCCGGCATTCATCATACATGACTTCGTTTAAATCTCGTAACAGCCTCATCATACCAGCATTGTCATCTCTATTTTGTAAGTGAGGAAACTACCGCAGAGGGGTGTATAACTTGCCCAAGGCCCCACCATTTATGAATGTCAGATTTAAGGCTTGAGCAGGTCTAGTTGATTCCACAGCCCAAGAACTTCACTTTCATGATATTCAGGCTCTCTCTATGCCTACAATGAGGAAGGATTCGGTGATCTGATACTGAGGCTTCTGGAGCTAGCTGACCGCTTCTGGAGGGTCTGCGATAGGGGTCTGGTGTGGGGAAAGAGAGTGCAGGGCAGAGCATCTCTCTGATCACAAAGCCACCGTGGAGGATATTTTTCTGCATAGATCTGCTTAGAGTATCCACTTCCATAACATATCTCATGTCTTTTCCCTCACCAAAGCAGTGTTTTAAGTATGAATTAGAATGTTTTCTTGGGCCTAACATTAAAGGGTAAGGGTTTCTTTAGAAAGCAGCCACTCAAAACTTTGGGAGGTATGTGAGAATCAGTGAAGAGAAACCAAGGTCTAACTTGCACATGATGACAAATGCTCAGACTTAACATTTCTCCTTGACTTGCCTGCGCACCATTCCTAGACAGGCACATCAGCAGAGGTCAGAAATTGTAAATGATCAAGACCAACCAGTGGAAGGATCCCTAGGCCATCTGTCAGAGAGGACACCCCAAGGCAGTTGGTTGAGACATACATTTTGGCAAATCTGAAATAAATGGTTCATTCTCAATAAAGTCAGTGCTTTTCTTGGGATGCAAGAAACCAGTGCTTCTCTGCTTATGGGTAGCTCAGATGAATTAGCAAGAACAAAGAGCTTTCCAAACAGAGAGAACAGCAAGTGCAAAGGCCCTGGGGCTGGAACTTACCTGGCATGTTTTAAAAGAAAAGCATGTATAGTTGGAATCTAGTGAGTCAGGGCAGGATATAGATGTGAGGTCGGAGAAAACAGCAGGAGGCCAGATTGTGTAGGACCTTGAAGGCCATTTAAGACTTCAGCTTTTAGTCCAAGTGAGAGAGGAGTCAATGGAAGACACTAAATAGAGCAGTCACATGACTGACTTGTGAGGGCAGACCTAGAAAACAAATGCAGACCATATGAGAGATCAGAACAACAGGTCCCTTATTCAATCGCATTATTCCGTGAACAAATATTTACAGAGCATCTGCAACATCCAGGCATTGATCTAAGTTGTAAGGATACAGCAGTGAACACAACAGACAAAAGACTCTCCCTTGTGTAGCTTACATTCTAGTGAGGGAAGAAAGACAAGAAACAGAATATATAAGTACCTTATGCAGTGTGTTAGATAGCAGAAAGTGTTATGCAAAAAAAAGAATGGAACTGCCAGAGTAGAGGGGCTGCAGTTTTCAAAAGGGTGGAGAGAGAAATTGTCACTGAGAAGGTGACAAATGAGTGACATGAGGAGAGGGCAGGGGGATCATCGGCATCCTGCAGGAGCCCCTGCCAGGAAAAGGGAAGTGCCAGTGCAAAGGCCCTGAGGCAGAAGTGTGCCCAGCTAGAAAAGGAGCAGGAGAGGGTATAACTTGAGCAGAGTAAGAATAGGGCAGGAAGCAGAGGGCACCCTCAAAGGAGTAATTAAAAGAGTTTAAAGAAAGAACTATTCACCAAAATGTGGGCAGGGTTAAAGTGAACCAGCAAGGATGGTGAGGCACCCTAGGGCTGGGAAGACTAAAAAGTCGTTAGCATCCCTAAGGCTGAAGGGACAAGAGGAGAGAGTGGCTGTCAGAACGTAGCAAGAAATGGCTGCAGGCCAGAGCTGACAACAGGAGCTGTATCATTAATAGAGGAACACAGCCACAGGCTGGCCAAGGCCATGTATGCACAGGGGCCAGAGGAATAAATGCTCCATCCTCTCACCTCCTGTCTTCCATTGACTGAGCACAACTGGAAGCCAAAGGATGAGAGAGCTGAGCTGAGGACGCCTGTGAAGGCCAGCATCCAGCAGAACAAGGGAGAGAAAGGTGAAGAGGGGTCCAAAGGATAACTAAAGACCGTCCAGTGCGGGGGGAGAGGGATCAGCGTCCCAAGGATGCCGAGCTTGCTAGACCAGTGTGGGGGCGTGGCTGTCACGCTGAGTGAAATGGCAGCCACTGCAGCGGTTTGAGCAGAAGAATGATGATGTGATTTATGATCTGAAAGAATCGTAGGAGCAGGAGGCGACTGCAGTAATCCAAGTAAGAGGAAGTGTGTCTTGGGCCAGGGTGGGGGCAGCGGAGGCAGTGAGATGTGGCGAGATTCTGACTTACTTTGAGGTGGAGGCAGAACTGTCTGCAGATGAAACTCAGGGTGTGAGAGAAGGAGGAGTGAGGGGGGTTCCCCATGTTTGGGCCTGAGCACCTGCAAGGAGCATGGTAGCCATGACTGGAGAGGAGACATCCGGGGGTGGGGGCAAGCTTGGCTGATTGGTTGGGTTGACGTGTTGAGTATGAGAAGTCTATTCTCCATCCACTGGAGGACGTGGAACAGGCTGTAGGATACCCAAGTCTAGAGTTCAAGGGAAAGGCCTCTATTGGAAACTTAGACTTGGGGCTCATGGGGATATAGACACATACTGGAGATATGAGGAGGAAGTTAGCATGTACCAACAGGAAAAGCAAAGAAAGCTTCATGGAGGAGGTGGCGTGTGACTGTGGCCCTTGAAGGATGAAATTTTGACAGGCACACATAGGTGGGAAGAAAAAAGCCATAGCAAAGGTGCTAGGATTGACAGTGGGGACAAGTTCAGGAAACAGTACTTCGGTTCAGATGAGCCCGAGGACGGATGATGGAGAGAGCAGAGATGGAGGCCTGTGAGTTTCTGGTTCAGTCATCAGTGACCTATTTATTCAGTGAACATTACTGGTTGCCTACTTTAAGCACTGTGTTAGTTGTGGACACTAAGAAGAAGAAGAAGAAATGCTGACGGAGCTCTTATTACATGCTTATGTGAAAATTCCACATCTAATCTTCACCCCCTACTTAAAGATCAGGACACCAAGAGTCTGGTGACTCGCCCCAGCTCACCCGGCTGACAGGACACAGCAGAGTCAGGACTGGAGCCCGGGAAGGGACTGCAGGGCCCTGGTCCACACCACTCTGCCGGGGGGCCCAGCCGTGTCTGTGTGGTATAGTTGGGCGCCCTTGGAGGTGCAGACAGGTCACTGCGCCAGGGGTGAGGAGTTACCCACACTTTCCTCTTGCCAAGGGTCAGCCGAGGAACTGGCCCAGCAGCTCTGGGGAGGAGGTGGGGCTGCTGACCAGGGCAGAGGTCATCACACTGCTGGCTTTGACCTCACCAGGGGCTGCCGACTTCTCTTTCTAAAACATCAGTTTCCTGTTTCTTGGCTCCCACAGCCAACCTTAGGTCAAGGGCAGGCAACTGACGCCTCACCCTGAAAGGTTAGCAGTCAAAGTGTCTTTATAGTAATGGGTCCACTCCCCAGCCCATGTTAAAGATAAAGAAACTGAGGCCCATAAAGACTGAGTCATGTGTTCAACACTTACAGACAGTTTTGTGGCAAAGCCTATATGAGAACTCAGACCTCAGGACTCTCAGCTCATCATTCTTCCACAAACCATGCTAAACTAATCAGTTCATGTTTTAAAAGTAGGGTCCCCAGTGAGCAGGCTGGGACAGGAGGGTGTGTGTGTGTGTGTGTGCACGCATGCACCAAGTACAGGATACAAGCCGAGGTCTGACACTCCCCACCACTCCCGGGGAAAGGAATTTCTCCTCAGTCCAACTTATCTTTAAGAAAAGTTCAGGTTTTATGCATCTG